GGTTGACCCAGCTTGTTTCTCATGAACCATGACCGGGCCACTCAGAGGCCCGCAAGGGTCGATCTCCTGTGAGTGTATCGATGTGGACTGCCAACACATGTGGCAAGTTATGCATTTATGACACTGGGTTTCTGTCAGAGACGGGATTTATTGTCAGAGACTGAAATATTGTCGGAGTCGAAATATTGTCAGAGTTGGACATACTGTCCGAAGACAGATGGAAGACAGATTGGGTTTCTGTCTGAGTTGAGGTCGGAGGTGATGCAGAGGTCTGTTGGAGCGCATGTGCGGATATGCGGGTGGAAATATGCGGCACGTCCGGAAGTGCTGTTCAAGGTTAGCAGAGTGGGATCACGGCCTCAGCGACTCAGGTGGAGTGCTGTGCCCTGAGCTTGACATTTGGGGGAGATCCTGTATTTACAGACTGACACTTACAGTGGACTTCAAACAAGACTTGCGAGCAGAGCAGACCTATAGGAGGAGCGCGGACTCCACGAGCATGGACTCAGAGGAGGGGAAGCCCCCTTTGCAGAAGGAGAGACTCAGACCAGACAGGGGGGGTACTCTAGTTGATTTCAGACTGAGGTCCCCGAAAGTATTTACAAGGTATAAGTAGGTAAGAGAAATCAAAGGAGGGACCGGTCAGTCCGGTGTGGAAATAAGCGGAAATGAGCGGGGACTTGTCAAACTAAACCAAGGACAAGAACCTGGGAAATGGGAAGCAAGGAATGAATAAAGTCAAAGCAGATCAAGTACCAATATTGACAGATTAAATGAATGAATAGGAAAGTGCAATAGCACACGGATCAAATGCCAATATTGGGGTGAACATAATAGGCACTCAGCAAGGAATGAATGTTATGTTGCTGAGTGGCAAAAATGGCTAGAGGATGAATGCAGAGGTCAGCGCACGGCGCCGATACAAGTCTGCAAATAAGCGGGGTCGGTGCGGTGCCGACACAAGTCCGCGAACAGAGGTTGATCTGTCAGCACTGTCACACAAGGACAGCATGAAGGCCAACAGAGGTACAGAGGGGAGTGGGAGTGTTGACCTGACCAGAGGTGTCAAGGGCAACCAGAAGTGGCCAGAGGGTGCAGAGATGGGCAGAGATGGGCAGAGGGTGCGGAGTGGGCAGAGGGTGCAGAATGCATGGAAGCGGGGCATGACTGTGACCACATAGCAGGAAGCAATGAGTGTGGTTCAGATGGAGACAAGGCAGGCATAGGAACTGGAGGGACTGAATGCCGGGAGTGCCAAGGGCTCAGGAACTGGAGGTAAGGTTGGAATACTGGCAGGGTCTAGGTTCTGATTATTGGCCAAGTCTCACACAATAAGGCAGGGGGCCAGACATGGGATTGGGGGCTTGTTACAAAAATGGGGCCGGAAGCGCCCATTTTCGTCCGTTCTGGCGCAGGAATAGGGAAGGGGGTTGGACATAAGGGTTTACAGGTTGTTTCACAGATGGTTTAACATGTTGTTGAACAGGTAGTGTGGCAGTGGGTTTTTGTTGAGTATTTATTGGATAAACTGTATTACTATATAAATCACATGATACAGAACCCATAAGAGTCTAAAATGGGAAATTCCCATTTCCATAACAGGGCTGGTTAGGATGGGTTTCGGGTTGGCGGATTCGCCTATCGGCATTGGTTCGCCGCTGACGGAGCCCCGGGATTTGTTGGTCGTGACAGTTTCGTCCATGATACCTTTCTTTCTTTCATCTTAACACTGGATTGCCATAAATATATTATTTCTAATGAATTTATCGGGCTGGTAGGCTTTCTCAACGGGTGTCAGATGTGACCCAGGACACAAATGCATTATTTTGTGACCTTGGCGAGTGATCTTCCATTCCTCGCAGTGGGAGTACATTGTTTGAGTGAGGCGAATAAGACGAGAGGCGTCTCGGGCATGGGGAAGGACTACGGATGAGTTGGGGACAAAGGAGTGGCAAAGAGTGGCTTATACTCCGACACTGATGGAAAGCTCCTTAATGTTGAGATAAAGGAAGGGGCGATTCACCAGATTGCTATGTTAAATATCTTGTTGGTAAACTTGAATTCAGAACCAAGCATACAGGATCTCGACTAGTCAGACAAATCTATCTGATCTTGTTCACCGTCCATCACTAATGGCGCATCAGTATGGTCAATCCCAAGTTGGGCATAATCAACAGGAAATCTTGAGGCCACCATAGCAGCTTGCGACCATAGTTCATGAAGGAGACTTGCATCCGAGGTTTTCCACATGGGCTGCCAGCGTGGATTTGAAATGGGAAGGGAAAGGATCTGGTGCCTCACCCTGTTTCGAAAGTGATTGACATTTGTACCGTTGGGAGCAGCATTGAGCCCGATATGCATGGCCTGAATGTCAGCCATAGTCCAAAAACCACAGTCGTGTCCGTTCCACTGGCAAGTTTCTTTCTAGGGTTTTTCATTATATCATGCTCAGAATGTTGAAGGATGGGACACCTATGGTGACTACTCTGGATCCCCAATTAGACCAATTGAATACACGGGTAGGGTGAACGAACGACCAGATGGCATCAACCAGTTGCCCAAGTATCTGAGGAAAGAGGATTTCCAACACTGCAGTGTGGACTACGATAGATGATGCACTGCGAAAACCCACTGTGGGCCATGATGACTTATGTCGAAGGTTTCAGGGAGAGGTATGCTATCCAGATAGCGGAGCTCTCGTTTTTCGAAGTTCACAACGCCAAGGAGCCAGTGAGACCGCTTCTGTGAGTAGCATGGGATCGTCCAGGAGGTTACTTCAAAAAGATCGGTTCACATGTTTTTCGTTTCTCGCTAAGGACTTGGTCAGTAACAGTGTTGACTAGGGCGCTCCGGCATACGTCTAATAGGCAAACTGCCAAATGATGTCTCATTCCTTCACACTGGGTAGGAAACATGATCACATGGGGTCGAGTGGTCCTGAGCACATCCCGCAGGTTTTCGTCAGTAAGATCTTTGTCAGAGACCAGATTCGAGACGAGGGAGAGTCTCCGTAGCGGAGGGCTTTGGCCTCAGCGACTTATGCCAAGAGCGCTGTGCCTAGTGACACGTCCGTGCCCTAACTTACTGACTGGCAATCAGAACCGAAGGGGGGTAACTCTAGTTGATTTTATTACTGGAGTGTAACCTATGTACAAGTGGGATATATATATATGGTTACAGCGAAGATGGGTCCGCAATTGGCGGAGCCGAACGGAGCGGAGCTAACGGGGTTTAAACATTAGCCGACTGAATATTACCGACGAGTCGGGTCACGGGGTTAGCGGAAAGGCAGGCGATAACCGAGAAACGGAAAGGAGGGATAGGCCCGAAGGTGGGCTCTGCAGGGCAGGCGAGTGTATTGCCCAGTGGAGGCGGGAGTGTGCTAGCGGACGTCGCAGCTGTCCGAAAGTCTTCGGGGCTCCGTACTTAGGGAGGCGTAGGTAATGAGGGGGTGGTGACCATCGAGGGGTACTGAGAGGATTGTGGAATGCAGGAGCTCCGAGGTTAGTGAGGAAGGAGCGGAGTTAGACCGGAGGGATCGGAGGGACCAGAAGTCGATGGCTGGGGATGGATATGACAATCTTTCAACATCTCGATATAGGTATCGATTATTGTCCCATGTATCCACTGCAGGCAATTGACCGTTGGCAATGCATCACAGAAGATTGAGATATGTTTATAATACCTCGTTTGGCCGTCGTTCGCTATCTAACGGGACATCAACAGCATTGAGCATAGGGGAACTTGGGGTCATTCTTACTCTTTCAGTTTCTCGAGGCAAATGCAGCTCCATAATTTCCTTCCAAATCTTTTTTGGCATTTGTTCTTGAACAGATTGGCTGGGTGAACGAATGGCATCGATGATCATTGTAATTGGAGGAAGGGATTGAGGACGAGGGTTCTCGTTCCAGAACTTTTCCTCGATGCTGAAGCCAGACGATCTCGGCCCTGGGAGGCAATCAGCTTGATTTTGCTGTCGATAGTTGTTATCCGCTTTGCTGGCTATAGTTATGCAACGACATTTATCAGGTCTCACTGACGTGCAAACAGCGTTAGTGTCAGGGGACGCCCGGTTATCCGGCCCCCCTTTACTCTAAGCGATATCAATGAGGTAATTGTTAGCCGAGATTGCGTGAGATAATTATGTAGTTAGAACGCAGATATAACTCATTGCGCTATATTCGCTATCGCGTCACCCCTTACCCGATATTCCCTCATTTCCCGCATCTTCTATCTTCCTATTTGATGTCGTGTTTCTATTAGTTACCATCTTTCCAATGTAACTGCGCTCTCGTGAGTTAGCAGAACTCATGTACATAAGGCTACTATGCCAGCTGGGCTAGCCCCCCAGCTTTGATATCGACTAGTTTCCTGGGGATACTCTTACGCTGCGAATAGATGTGCGGACTCTGACAGTTAGGCACTGTCGGACTCATGCTCATCATATGTTCAGGCGCTATCATGTCTACGATTGAGGACCACAGTCGCTCGTTTCCCTCCCCATTTGACTTTCCAAATCCACTTCGTTTCCATGGGTGGAATGCGATTTGGCAACAGAACTGATGTGCATACGCATGAAAGACCGAAATGGCGATACTCAATCTAGGAGCTATGTTGGGGATAAGATTATACTTTATTCAAACATCAGCTGTTGTATTGCAGGTAGTGTAAAGTTATACCTTAGCGATTGATCAATCAAGAATGCACCCAACATCATACATTAATCCGATGGTGGCGTTTGAGGGCAGCTGGCAGCTGAGTGTGATGAGCATGGCAACAGAAAAGTGCTGCTGCTCGCCTGGGGTGTCCACATCACAAAGAAAGAGGGGGATATCATGGCAGTAGACGGTAGCCATCAGACCCTTCGAACGGAAGGTATCGGTTTTCGATGCTGACCATCTTCCATGCTTCGTGGCTCAGTGCGATTCTTCGCACTCCTCAATAGCGCCATCCAGCACAAGAGATGAAGGACAAGATCCCGAAGAGCTTCGAGATGCATCTCACACCTCAAAGACATGGCGGGCAGCTTCACCGACTTCGGCACGGGTCAGGAAACTGCAGGTTTCGTTCCAGGGAAGAATCATCTCTCCGCCAACAAACATATATTGCTTGTGTTGCATATTACCATCCATAGCAACAATGACATCAGGATTCCTGGGGTCAGAATTAGTACAAGGCCCGTTCTTGAAGCAGAGGTGCGTGGGACGAACTCGTTGACAGGACCACCCCATGTTAAGCCTCTGAAACATTGCGGGCATCTTGCACAGAGGTATGGGCTAGCCCTGTTGTGCGAGGGGTTTCGAAACAGCCTTGATCGAGCAAGGGTCAATGATGCAGAGTCAGTTGTCGTTTCTGTGGAGGGCGGTATGTCATCATCACCGGATATCATGCTCTCAGATGTGGTGATCATGGGGTCCCCGTTATGTGCAGGTAGGTGACGGGTAAGCTCGTGGGGTGTGGAAATAGATAGCGGTGCATCGGACTCCACAGGGTCCGTGGGCAGAAGGAACTCTCTCTCCGTTTCAACCTCTGTCAAGTCGCATAGGGATTTAAACCATGTTATTGCTTCACTGAGCGAACCTAGAAAGGGATCCTATATGAATAGGAGACTGTGTGCATGTCAACTCCACCTAAATGATGACTAGGTATTACCTTGGCGGAGAATTCATAGCCATTCTCCTGCAATATCGTAAACAGGGTGGTATGAAAGGAGGTAATTGGTGTAGAGGAGTTCACATTTAAAGCTGAGAATAGCAAAAGAATGTCGAAATGGAAGGCGATTTGAGGCATTACTGGTGACCCAGGGAAGTAGCCACACTGAATGATCCCAAGTGGGAGGGTATTGGATGGACACTTGCAATATTCGAATGTACGCCGCACAGCATCTACACCGAGGTCAATGGGACATGGTGAACGAGGTCAAGATGCAAACATACTCGTGAATGCAATCGTCATTACAGAATGAAACCGGAGAGGCGTGTTGCAACGAGAGCACAGGGCCATCGCAAGTGTATGCAGTTGTCCATTCTGTTCAAACGACGTTTCATCAGGGGCGGCAAGGGGCATGCGTTCTGCCTGCCTCCAGATCCAAATATATTTCCACTGCCTTATATATTACATCCTGGTGCCAATGGAGCCATGTGGCATTCTTTTGTGGATTTCACACTGCCCTCTTGGCTCGTTTTCGGGAGGGCGATGGTATGGTAGGTGATGGGGTATCCAGGTTAGGAGCGGCATCCACGATATTTCCCCCCCAACCCTGAGGGGTGTCAGGGACGCATCCGGAGTCGAGGCAGTCCGGGCATAGCGTCCGGTGCTGAGGACCTCACGGGGGGTAGATCGGGCGTGCGTACTGGCAGGCCCGATGCAGGACAGCGATCCCTGGCCACTTAGACTGAAGTGGGAATGTTGAGAAGAAGGTTACTTCTTCGGTTCCCACCCCAGGTGTGTTTATATACATGCGGCTTGGGTCACATGAGGTCCGCCACGTCACCCCGAATACAGCCACGGTCACCCAGGTGTCCCTGTGGGGGATCCCGAGGGCGTATGCTGCACACGCGCGCACTAGGTTGCACCCTAGAGCCGTCTGGGGTCGTCCGGGGCTAGGCATGTCGTGTGCACGTCACGGGCGGGTCAATAATACATAGATATAAGGGAAAGGTCGTCCATGTGGAATAGAACTAGAAATGGGAGAGGGATAGAGGGGGAAGGGATATGAAGGAAGGGTGCAGGGTGGGAGAAGGGGTACCGGGTGAGGTGGGTCCGGGTGGAGGCGGGTCAGGCAGGTGTGCTCTGACATCACCCTCCTTAAGCCGCTTCGCCTCGAAGCGGCCAGGGGGTTTTCCCTTTCTCTCCCTGGGGCTTGGGGGTGTGCCTGGTGGAACTCTTCAATTCGGTCAGGAGCGTGTGTCAGCCGGTCTCAGGGGAGCCACTCGTTTTCGGAGTTTGGCCAGCCAGAGAACTTTACCAGATACCAGAGTTTCCGGCATAACCACTTAGAGTTTAATATTTTCTCCACCTCATATTCCTCCTCTCCATCTACGAGTTCTGGGCCTGGGTGGGGGTCAGGGGGTCGTTCTGAAATTTCGTCCGGGTGGTGGGGCCTTACGTTCGTCACGGACACGACTGGGTGTATCCCCTTCTGTCGGGTGGTGAGCTGGAGCTTGACAGCAGCCAGGGAGATGACTTTGACGATTTTGAAGGGGCCTAGCCATTTATGGTCCAGCTTTTTGGTCAGGCGGTCTGTCATGTAGTTCTGGGTGCTGAGCCAGACCCGGTCACCTTCTTGGTACTTAGGGGCTGCTTCGCGACCTCGGTCATAGTAGCGGGCCATCTCGTCCGCTGCATGTTCCAGTGCTGCTTTCGCCTCCTCTTGCATCTTCATCATCCTAGATGAGAAGGTGTAGCAGCTTCCACCTCGGACGTGTGTGTGGGCTCTGTCCCCATCCTGGGGTGCTGTCCAGTGTCAAGTTCAAAGGGAGTCCAGCGGGTGGAGGAGTGGACTCGGTTGTTGTAAGCGAACTCTGCTAGCGGGAGCCAATCTGCCCAGTTGTCTTGGCAGTGGTTGATGAATACCCGGAGATAGGCTTTGATCTCTTGGTTGACCCGCTCTGTTTGTCTGTCCATCTGGGGGTGGTAGGGTGTGGAAGGGGTTAGCTTGACTCCCAGGAGATGTTAGACACTGGTCCGGGGTCGGCACCGAAGGTCGCCGATGCGGGCCGCTATTGGCCGCAATGGCCGCGATGCCTCAGACAAGGCCCGAGGGTAGGGCATTTGGCCTCAGCAACTCTAAAGGGAGTGCTGTGCCCCCTAGTTGTCTCTTGGCCCTCATTTCGAACTTACTGGGGCTGCCTTGTTGGGGTCAGGGCTTGGGGTCGTGGTCAAGTCAATATTAGAGCTGAGGTACTATAATGTAGTATACAGGATATATATGTGAAGATAGAATGAATAGAAGCGGACCCGGGCCGAAGGCCGAAGGGTCCGGAAGCAAATAGGAACAAAGAGCGGGGTTGGCCGCACCGCGGCCGGCAATGACCGAGGGTCAAAACAAACAATAACAGATAAATAAACGAAGGGGTGTAGGGCCGCGATAGCGGCGATGGTATCATAGCGGAGTAGGCGATGTCACGGAGTCACGCTAGGTCGGTACCAGAGGCGGACTCGGGGCAGGGAGGTCGGTGTGGCTGTGGGGGAGTCGGCCAAGTGTAGGGGAGCCTAGGGGCAAGTGGGGGAGTGAGCAGGGAGCCCTCAGGGAGGATAGGGCTGAGGTTGGGGCTCGCACTCACGCTCGCATAGCGGTAACGGGCTCGGGCGGCATCGGGACGGGCGGCTAACGGGCCGGAATGCACGGCTGTGACAGGAGATCTGCGAGTTCTTTTGAGAAGCGCGAGACGAAGGCACTTCCCCTGTCACTGAGGATCTCTTCAGGGAGCCCATGGTGTCTCCAGACGTGCTCCAGGAAGAGCCGGGCAATCCCAGCCGAGTCTACAGACGTCACAGTGGGGACCGTGTGGATACGTTTTGACAGGCGGTCCACTACGACCAGGATGGCGTTGTAGCCTTTCGAGTCTGGGAGCTCTCCCACCATGTCCACTGAGATCACCTGCCAGCGATGGGTGGGGACTTTGTTTGGGGTAAGTTTTCCAACTTTCCATGTGGGGAAGGATTTGACACGGTTACAGGTGTCACAACCACGTATGTACCGCCCAACGTACTCTGCCATCCGAGGCCACCAGTAGTCGCGGGAGACGAGTTCCAGGGTTTTCCATCATCCCGGGTGCCCCGTTGCCCACGCGTCGTGGTGGAGCCGTACCAGATCATGGCGGAGTTGCAGGTCTTTCGGAACGTACACCCTTCCCCGGTAGAGGACTAATTCTCCTTGTCTCTCCCACTCGTCCAACCTCAATGTCCCCTCCCCTAGTTCCCTCATGGCTTTCACCACCCGCTCATCATGATCCTTCGCTTCTCCTATCCTCTTCAGAATATCCGCCTCCTCACCCTCTACTGAGACTGCCTCCATTGCACGGGCCTCGAACCAGGCTGGTTGGAGGAGTGTCAGCCCCTCATTGTCATCTCTTCCCTTCGAGTGGTCAGGACGGCGGGAGAGCGCGTCCGGTTTCCCCATGAGCTTCCCTGGGCGATGGACGAGGGTGAAGTAGAAGCGGGAGAGGAAGAGGGACCAGCGTGCTTGACGTTGGTTAAGTCTCTGGGCCGTACGGAAGTACCCCAGGTTGCAGTGGTCAGTGTAAACCTCGACCTTCTCCTCGGCACCCTCCAGGAAGTGCCACCATTCTTCGAGGGCCCGGACGATCGCAAGCATTTCCTTGTCGTACACCTCGTAGTTCCGCTCTACGTCCATAAAGCTCTTGGACATAAAGGCTACTGGGTGGAACTCTCCATCCGACTGGAGCTGGGAGAGGACCGCGCCGGTCACGAAGTTGGAGGCATCACATTCGAGCCTGAGACGGCCCGAATCTGTGGGGAAGGAGAGGACGGGGGCAGAGGTGATGGCTTCTTTAAGGGCATGGAAGGCATTGTCTTCGTCCGGCCCCCAACTCCAGGCCTTGGTCTTCCGGGTCAGCGTGTGGAGGGGTCGTGCCTTTTCGGAGAAATCTCTGATGAATCGACGGTAGAAGTTCACGAACCCTAAGAAGGATTGTACCTCCTTCACCTTGGTTGGGGTCGGCCAGTCGAGAACTCCGCAGACCTTCACCGGGTCCATTGCAATGCTGCCCTCAGAAATGACGAGACCGAGGTACTCGATCCGGGTCCGCTCGAACTTGCACTTCTCCGGCTTCAGGAAGAGCTTCCGCATCCGCAACGTCTCCAGGACCTCCCAGACGACCTTCCGGTGTTCCTCTAGGGTGGAAGTGAAGATGAGTATGTCATCCATATAACAGATGACAACCTCCCAGTCGATGAAGTCCCGGAGGATGTCGTTCATCATCGTCTGGAAGGTTGCGGGGGAGTTGCACAAGCCGAAGAACATCACCATGGGCTCGAATAGCCCCCAGTTGGTCGCGAACGCTGCCTTCCACTCGTCACCATCTTTGATCTGGACGTTGTTGAACCCCCAGCGTAGGTCTAGGGCCAAGAAGTACTTGGCCTTGCGGAGGCGGGCGAGAACGTCTGAGATGAGTGGGAGGGGGTATGAGTTCTTTACCGTGATTTCGTTCAGTTTTTGGTAGTCTTGGACCAGCCATAGCGACCCATCCTTCTTTTTGACAAAGAAGACCGGGGCTCCCATTGGAGACTTGGACGGCCGTATGTGCCCATTCTGTAGGTTCTCGTGTAAGAACTTGTCTAGTTCTTTCTGCTCAGGGCGTGAGAGGGGGAAAGTTTTCCCTCTGGGCAGTTTGGCATCCGGCACCAGGTCTATGGCATGGTCCCAAGGCTTCCGGGGGGGTAGTCGGTTGAAAGCCTCTTTCGAGAACACGTCCCGGAAGTCTTGGTAGTGACCCGGCACTAACTCCTTGAACGATGCGGGCTCTGCATCTGGCTCATGAGCCTCTGGGGCCATTCGCTGGGAGGGCATTGTAGTTGCCCTCAAGTCATGGCCCCACCCTGAGGGGATGATCGCAGCATAGATCCTGTCCCTGGGTTCTATCAGAGGGTCCTGGTTGTCCGGCACCCGTGGTGACTGGCAGGACGATGGGCAGCGGGACATGACAACCCTCTGTCGCACCCAGTCCACTTCCGGGTTGTGATGGAGTAGCCACAAGTGCCCTATGATGAGGGATTGTCATCCTAGGTTCACAACAGCAAAATGGGCCCACTCTGTGTGTCTCCCAAATGTTAGGAGGGCTTCTAGCTCCTCAGTTATAGCTCCATTCTCATTCGGGGTCCCGTCGACGTTATGGATGGGGATGGGCTGTGGGAGCGGGGTCGTCTTGAGCTTGTGTTTCTGAATGAACTCAGGGCTCACGAAGTTCCTGGTGGCCCCGGAGTCTAGGAGGGCGGACACGGACACAGAGGCGAGGGAGGTCAGGGTGGTCAGCTTCACAGTAAGGTTGAGTGACCTGGGGGACTGCTTCGAGAGGACGTAGATAGCGGGTGGGGATACTGCT